GGGTGGGGGGGGGGGGGGGGGGGGGGAGGGGGGTGGTGACCCAAGACTCCTAAGATATAAATGCCTTTCGATGGCCCCGATGCATGATAGCCACGACCTCCTCTCCCTAACTCAGATTTGCCTCCTGGTTCATCCTGCCCAAGATGAATTGGAAAGAGCAACTACTGCATCACTTGATACTATACTACAAACCACTCCTCATCGCTGTAGTGGTGTGTTTCTTTCTTCGAAACAAATTTCAGCGTCATATCTACTCTATCCCTGGTCCCCGGTTGGCAGGCTGGAGCAACCTGTGGCGCTTCTGGGATGCTTTGTGTCATGTCCAGCATGATACGCACATCAATCTACACCGCCGATATCATTCATCTCTGGTCAGAGTGGGACCGCGCGTCATCTCATTTTCAGACCCTGAATGGATTCCAAAGGTCTACGGGTTGACCTCCGGATTCACCAAGACGCACTTCTACGATATGTTTGTGCTTCCATACAAAGGAACATTCACCAGGAGCTTGTTCACCACCCTCGATGAAAATTACCATTCGAAATACAAACGTCCAATCGCGAATGCATACAGCATGTCGACTTTGGTCGAGTTTGAACCATTTGTCGACACAACCATCCAGTTGTTTATGCAACGGTTAGATGAATTTGTGACATCAGGAGCTCCGTTCAACTTTGGAGTGTGGCTTCAAATGTTCGCGTTTGATGTCATGTGAGGTGTCGTTGTATTATTGCACTGTTGGACAATTTTGGCTGATCAATTATAGTGGCGAGATCGTGTTCGGCAAAAAGCTCGGGTTTCTTGAGCAGGGAGTAGATGTCGAGGGAATCATGGCCGACATTCGTTTCAAGATCCAATATGCCTCGATTGTGAGTTGATACACCATCTATGCATCACATGTGGTATAGACTGACCAGTACGCCCAGATAGGACAGATGCCATGGCTGGACATGTTCATTGCCAAAAACCGTCTGATGGTGTGGTGGGCAGGCACTCATCCCATCGTCAGATTCACAGTTGAGAACATGAAGGAACGAATCGGAGGCAAAGGATCTCAACAGCGCGATTTCCTCGCTCGATCATTTGAAGCTCAAGAAAAATCGCCCGAGCTCGTTACTGATCGCATCGTACGGATGTGGAACATTGACAACGTCTTCGCAGGGAGTGACACAACTGCAGTATCGCTGCGCTCTGTAAGCACATCCACTTGCTTCTGCGACCACTCTGTGGGCGGGACACAGTCTGACCAGACCCACAGATATTCTACCATCTCATGCGTACCCCACATGCGATGGCCAAGTTGGTGAAAGAGATTGATGAGCTTGAGGAGAAAGGAGAGCTCGGCGAATACGTGTCGTGGAAAAACTCCAAGTCAATGCCATATCTTGACGCAGTGATCAAAGAAGGCTTCCGAATGCATCCAGCCGTCGGCCAACTACTGGAAAGACACGTTCCCAAAGGCGGAATTACTCTGGGAGACACATTCTTACCTGAGGGAACCATTGTAGGAATGAATCCTTGGGTCGCAGCGTAAGCTTTCTAAACAAAACACACGAGAGGAGGTTACTGATTTTCTTGTTTAGTCGCAATCGTGAGGTGTACGGTCCTGACGCAGACATGTTCCGACCAGAGCGATGGCTAGAGGCTACCCCAGAACGTGTCCAGCTCATGGACCGAACCTCTTTAACAGTAAGTCTACTCTTGTCCTCCAGGCCGAGCGCCCGAGCCTCATTAGCGTACGTACTTTGCTGATTCAGAAAACAAACAGTTTGGCCACGGATCAAGGACTTGCATTGGTAAGAATATCTCCCTGCTGGAAATCCACAAACTCGTCCCACAGCTCTTGAGACGCTACAAGGTTCGTGCACGCTCTCTTCTTTGGTCGTATCGCAGGCACATCCGACTAATCAAAACACTATAGATCGACTTTGCGAACCCCGAGCAGGACTGGAGGATTCATGGAGGTTGGTTCACCGAACAGGACAATTTCTGGGTGCGCCTCAGCCATCGTGAGCGTGTCAAAACCTAGTCGCCGGTCATGATCGCATGGAAGGACTCGACGCAGAGAACAAGGCTGGGGTGATCAGAGTCTGCATGAAGATCGTGTGAACGGGGCAAAGAAGCCTTGACCAGGGTCGAACTATAGCCAATCATGAGTGAATCAAATCATGCAAGGGGACCAGCTGACCCGTTCCGCTTCTTCGGTTGTGCTCGGATCGGATACGAAACATTGGCATCCCACATGCCTCCGAGACTGTGTAGCCTGTAAGCTTCCTGTGGATGGTCAGTAACCTGGTCTGTGCAAACGCTCACTCCTTTAAGAATTCTCCAGATTAACGAGAACTTGGAGAAGATTGGCATGGATCCATTTGGCGGGGGATGATGATTTCCCCGCTCAGATATCGATGTCTGTCTTTTCAACCTCAGAAATCATCTTTCCATATACATTTACCCTAACCCTTTCACTCATCATCATCATCGTCGTCACAAACGCTTCTCCAGCCAAAAGGGTGTAGTAAAAGATGGCTCTTGCTCGTGTCTAGCCGTCTCGAAAATATCTGCCTATTCCTTCCAGATCCTGGAGATAATATCGCCGCCATAACGGTTCTCTCTTCGAGAAGGTGGATCCATCGACTCCTTTGCTTTTGCCACCACAATGACGGGACAATGGGTGATGGACGAGATGCTTAGCTTCTACTATGTGGAAGGGTCACGCTCGTGTTCGCCGCAACCACACAGTTTTCGTGGACAGCCCCAATTGAGCAGTTCTTCTGGGTGGTGTTTAGGTGACAATGGTCATCACCCAGTCGGCGGTTCTTCGCCTGTATCATCAGCACACAACCCCAGCGAGCTCGACGCACAGCAATATCCTTGCCATCAACTGACCGACATTGATGGCTTCTCAGACTACCACAGTCTTCAATATCAAGGGCAACAGGTACTACTTGGCGCGACAACCGACTTTGGCTGGAATGGTGATTATTACGCCAGCCAGCCCCAGGAGGATGGCAGCAGCCCAAACGAATGCGACTACTCACTTCAAGGATCGACCGCGGTCTGCTTGTCTTCACTGGACTCCTGCGTTGTGTCACCACCCATCGACCAAACATTCACGCAACCGCTCTCACTTTGGGAAAGTTCCATGGGCTTCAACATGCGACTACCCCTTTCGAGCCTGGACAGGTATCTCGTCGCCCTCCGGCAGATCATCCGGCGCTGTGCAGAAGCCACCACGCTTAGCGGCCCACTGTGCCGAAGGCTCTCTGCAGAAGGGGTTCTTTGGGTCGTGCGAGAGTCCTGGCCCACCGCAGAAGGATTCTGGAACTTGACGACATGCATGCAAGGATTCCTCTATGCCGAGCTGTGGCGGAATTTCCCCTGTCGAGACTCATATCAGAGCCTGCCCGCCGCATACCGCCCGACCCAAATGCAGCTCCTGGTCCCCCACTCCCCCATCATCGACTGGCTACCGTGGCCGGACCTTCGCGACATGATCATCATGTACCAAGACCAGATTGACATCGACGCTCTTTGCCGGCACGCGATTCTGACAATGGTCGCCCACCGGAGTAAAAAGACCAGAAGGACCACCCGGGAGTGTGGCGTTGAAGGGTCGTCCAGAACGTCGGCCATTAACAGCAGCATCCATATGCACCACCACCTCCAAGATAATACCAGCCACCAGGAGAACGGCGAGACCACAACCGAAGAAGCAGATGGGACCACGTCATTTCGTGTCTGGGATCTTACACGACTGGAGACCTTGGACGACGAGACCACACGGCTGGCGGCAGACAAATTATTGTTCAAAGTGACACCCCACCATCCACGGTCTGCGAGCATGAAGGCTCTCCAGCGCGCGTACAATCTAGTGTACGATGATTTTTCGACGCAGAAGCTCGAGGGTCGTTTCTTCGACCGTTATCCCTTTCTGTACTGCCAGAGGTTGATTTCAGAGTTCAAGATCCAAGACTTGACGACCGTTCCGTTCAAGGATGTCGGCTCTCCGGTCGATATGACCCGAGACACCGTCTTTCGACTCAAGGGAAGCTTGGAACAGGCCATCGGAGTGACTGTGGATCTGTAGCTTTAAGATAAAATTTGAGGAGTAAATGATCGGCTGGGGGGCGGTATCGCCTCGATCTCCTCGAAGGTAAGCTAGTCTGAGAAGGCGCCATCAGCCAGGGCGATGGCCAGCAGAGGCGGCTATATATCTTCGTACATTCCATACTATGGCCTGGTAAAAGTTCAATATCAGAAGGATACCTGTTTCTATCGGAGAAGGATAAAATTTTCGGTCGACCGACCTTTTATATAGCTTATTAGTGAAGCCTTTCGCGTCGCGCGCAGCCCGTACGGCGAGTTTCGCCTTCCCTTTTCTTATTCTTAAAGACGATAAAGACGATATCCTGAGTCCGAGTTGTTAGGACGGGCCCGTCCTAGTTTAGATAGGATAGTATTCTTACCTTATATAGTAATAACCCTCGTCCGGAGCCGCGGTATACATTAGATTCGAAGATTTTCTTCTACCCTCGACGGCGTATAAACGAAGAGAGTATAGACTGTAACTCTGCCCCTGTTCAACACGTTATGTCCCTCGATCTTCCCTCCTGCAGGACAACATTCTTTACCAAGTACCGAGTACCCATTGACCATACCACGCGGGTCCGGACCAGGTACATGCCTAATTCAGCAGCACCTAGGTAGGCTAGGCACGTACGCTAGCTAGGATGACAATGGCTAGTAGGAATTGTTGCGTGCTTGAAACGTGGTGGCGAAACGGTATCTGTGACATGTAACGCACCTGCGCGCTTTCCTCCTGGCTGGCGGCGGCGAGGCGGGTACCACCATAATTAGCCCCTGAAGCCCTGAGGACCGAGTACTCGGTACAGCTCTTCTTGTCTATTCCTGTACAGGTAATTGTACCGAGTCCCTCCCTACCTACTCCCTACCTACTCCTTACCTACCTTCGGAGGAGTACTCGGTAGGTATCGTACTAATTCCTCCCTCCCTAGTCGCTACATACTCGGTCTCGTCAAACGCCAGATCGTTACACGATACACAGTATGTCCAACCCCCTTCCCCCCCGTTGAGATTTCGTCCGGGGTTGTGCGCGCAACGATGCGGCGTGCGGCGTGCATCCAGTGGAGATGGCTTGGTACTCGGGAGTCTTTCCAAGATTGCACGATCCGTGAGTCGTGCTCGGTAAACACAGTACCTGGGCTAGGCACCCTGGCACCTACAGAGGCACGATAGGCTAGGTCGGGTCAGGTCAGGCCAGGTTAGGTACGTAGTATCGAGTACCTGCGGGGGAAAATGTACCTTCGAGTAGTTATATATAATATGAAGAGGACGATGTGCATGTGAGGGTGGTCTTTTTCTTGTTGACAAGCGTGTTCATTCGTTTTCTTTCAATTCATTTTCGAGCCGGTCTCTCGTCACACATCGTTCGTTCGTTCGTTCATTCTTTGCAGCACCTGTTGATCGGGTTTCCATTCCATTCGTTTCATTGGCCGTCATTCTTGTTGATTGGTGGCTCAATTGCCTACGGTACTACCAGCCTTGCATTGCAGTAACAGACAGCACCGGCACCGGCACCAGCACCAGAACCATCACCATGAGATCTATTCTTTACACTTTATTCCTCGGCGGCGCGTCGCTCAGTGCCGCGCTTCCTGTCGCTGAAAAACGCACAGTGACATCGCTGGACCAAGCGTCCTTCGAGGAAGCCCAACAGCGCGACGACACGGCCACGAGAGCCTTCTCGGGGGTTCCGATCAAGGTATGTTCTCACAATATCTCGACAGTCGCCTGCGAAAGACCTTTTCATGTTGATTGGCTGACCCACCTGGCCATAGACTTCAGACGGCCAGTGCCTCTTTGTCGACGAGCTGTCGGGCGATTTCCGTGCCAACTTGACCCCGATCCAAGTCGCTGCCTGCGACGGTAGCACTGGACAGCAGTGGGATGTCATCACGGCCGGCAAACATGACGACCAGCCGGGGACGATGCTGATTGTTAGCACGCTGGCAAGTCAAGCCTCGTTCTCACCTGCAAAGAACCTTGGGCTGACTCCTTGAACCTCACAGACGCAGGCTTGCTTCAACTTCGACCCTCGTCGTGCCGCTGGAAACCAGGTCCTTTTGTTCTCCTGCGGTGGTCGTGCCGATGGCAGTAAGTCTTGCAAACTCCAAGCACACCGTTAGTGTGAGCCTCGAATTGACCGTGTGTTAGGTGGCCAGGTGACAAACTCGCAGCTGTTCCCCTTCAGCGGCGGTGCCGGTCCCCTTGCCTTGACTCCCGAAAACGCACCTGGAAGCTGTTTGGCCGTCAGCGGAGCTGTCGTCGACATCGTAGCCTGCAACACGGCCGATCCTAATCAATCTTTCACTTTTGGCGAGGCTGACGCTGCCGCCCCCACCGATGTGGCTGCGACGTCGTCGACGACGCCTGCAAGCGAGTGTGGAGCAACGCCGCCACCACCACCACCACCAGCGTCAACCACTCCTGCAGCTACCGTATCAAGCACAGCAGCGCTCGTCGTCTCGACTACATCGCCACCTACCGTCGCCGAGAGCGCGACCTCCACGGCTTCCGCCTCTATAATCTCCGTGTCTCGTGCCGGCGGCGTCCTCGACCCCTCCGCAGTCGCAGAGGCGAACCCGCGCGACGATACGGCCACGCGAGCCTTCTCATCCGTCTCGCTCAAATCGTCGTCGGGGCTCTGCCTCTTCATCGACCCCACGGCAGGCGACTTCCGCGAGAACCTGATCCCGATCGTGCTGCAGCCGTGCGACGGCAGCCCCAACCAGAGCTTCGACATCATCACTGCGGGCGTGCACAATGACCAGCCGAACTCGGCCTTGATCGTCAGCACCCTGACGCAGGGATGTTTGAACTTCGACCCCCGCAGAGCTGCCGGGGACACGGTCATCATGTTCAGTTGTGGCGGACGCGCTGATGGCGGTGGCCAGGTCACCAACAGCCAGCTCTTCACCTTTACCGCCGGGGAGACCAGCCTGAGACTCCAGCCGGAGAATGGTGCCGGGTCGGTGTGTCTGGCGGCGGACGCGACGGGCCGACTTGACCAGGTAACTTGCAGCGACGATCCCAGCCAGGTCTTTACCATCGCCTGAAGGAGGACGTGAAGTCTATGGAGTCTGTCGATTACTTGTATATTCTCGGTCCTCGGACTTTGTAAACTGTGTAACCATATCGGTGATATAAGAGAATCTTGTAAGAACATTTCTATCCAGTGCCGGTGTCCGCCAATGAGCCTCAAGCGTCTGTCTGCCTGGCTCTCGGACCCAGACATCTTGTGTCCTTGAAACGGAGAGAAATCCCAAGTTCATCTCCGTTACCCGCACTATCTTGAGAAGTAACAGCTGCTGCTTCCTTGTGGGAAGTGTGTCCTGCCAAAAACGACAAAGGCCCCTTGCGCAGGAAATAAGCCTGTTAACAACGCCTTGTTCAAGGCAGTCAATCACTGGATTTCAGAAAAGGTCAAGTCAGCGGCAAAAGGTTCGATATTAGTGGTGTAGAGAGGCAAAGAAAAGTATCGCAGGAGAATACCTCAGATAATCAATCTTGTGGAGGGGTGAGGTGAGGGAGGTAGATGACGCCCTCGCCGCCTCTTGACTCCATGGCATCCCACAGCTCCAACAAAGCGCAGTGGTCGTCTCCCTGCAAGAAGCGCACCGCGTTCTCGTCTTCGTCGTCGAAGAAGATGCCATATTTATCATCGAGGATGTGGTGGGGCAGGACCTGTTTCCGACGCGCCCAGTCTCTTTCGCTGGTAATGTGCTGCTGCGAGGCCTGGTGTTCCAGTGCAACACAGGCTAATTTGATGTCGTCGGACTTTTGGCCTTGTGCGTCCACGTCAAGCAAACGACTGTTGGGGTATGTATGTCGCAGTGACAGGGACCGTAGGTTCGTGGCGCCTGTATTGAGGTGCCTGAAGAATTCGGCCCATGTCGGCGGATCGGCCACTTCGGACGAAGTATTGGGGCCACTGGCACCACAGCTGAGCAGTGTCAAATGCTCCAGATTGGGGCTTTGCGTGGTCACGAATGCCATCAGCGGATCGTCGATGAAGAAGTGGTCGAGCGTGAGCTTTCGAAGGTAATAGAACCGAAGACCATCAGAGAGCCGGGGAAAGTCTGCTCGAAGAAGAAGGGGTCAGCCAGTTTGATGCAAACGACAATGTTTGATAGGTGATTTATTTCACAGACCGAGATGGCCACACCCCGGAGCCAGACCAATAGGGCAAGAATAGTTGGCCTGAAGCTCGAGTGTTTCGACGTTTGTCAAGTGCTGGATAAAAGTTGGCCCCAGGCTTCTGGTGAAGCTCTCCATGTCCATGACCTTGTTCTGCTCCCAGCCTGCTCCATTGTTCCAATGAGCCAATGAGATCTGGCAGTCTGTCACACAATTCAGTAGACCCTTCAGACCACGGCTCTCTTTGGGGGTGCACTCTGTACTCCCTTTTGGAAGATTGACCAGTTTTAGTGTGAAACTGGCCTTGTCTGCGAGGTTGTTCTGGCATATAGCGCGTAGAATAACAAGGATCATGCACCCAAAATCCCCTGTCGCACTGAATTCCATGCAGCTGTCCACCTGGTCGATCCAGTGCCAGGGGAAATTGAGGGTGAGCGCCTCCAAGTTGGGCGGCAGGTTCGATAAGAGAGCAGAGAGACGGGACAGCGGAAAGTCGGGCCAGTATGATAACACGTCGTCCTCTTCGTATTCAATATCACGAGACAGTTCCGCGTATACGTCTCTGTCGCCATGACTCAATGTCGCAAGGGTAGTGCATACAATCAAATTCTTTGCATGTTGCCAACGTGGTGTTCGAGAGAGAGTTTCTATTGATTCGATCGATTTCAGATGAGTTCGAAGTACCACATGGCGAAGAATGCGAGCTTCAAAATGCCGTCGATAGAAGCGGCAAGTCGAGCTCCAATACAAAAGGGCGTAGGCGCCTGGGTGGTCCTCATTGTTGCGATCAGTGCCGTAGTACTTTGCATGCTGGCCGTCGAAATTATTCTCGCCCGACGGAATACCATTGATGCGGTCTTGTCGGTATGCTGGAGGAAATAGAATATCTGGCAGATCCAAAGACTTTACGATCATCTGATGGACATCCACCGGAAGATTCATCAGCCGACATTGCGGCTGCGCATCGGCCATGTTGGTATGACAGAATCGAGGAGCTCGTCTGAAAAGACAAAGACCGGCGTCTTTTGTATATCTTGGTAATCACCGAAGAGAGGAAATGGAGTCGAGGTGGGAAGGCGGAAGCTTGCCTCGTGCCAAACACTGGAACACTACCGAGTGCATGACTAGAGATGACTCGAACATGCATGAGATGCCCCAGTAATTACCTCTTGCGATGTAAGGCGGTGCGGTCCGGGTGCCTAGTGCCTTGGTGAAGCCTTAGTGCCTCGTAGTTTCTAGGTGGTGAAGGCGGGCCAAAAGCCACGAGGCTGAGCATCTGGCATCTAAGAGTCAGGATCAGGATGAGATGGGGGCGGTGTATGGGAAACCACGCAACCCGGACTCACACTCACCCGGACTCCTTTCTTGTCAATCTCATGCTCAGTCAGGTTGGAACTGTACTCGGTAATAGTTGTTGGCAAGGCTGTCCCCTTTACCCAACATAACCGCCAACCCATCGTCCAGGGTAACAGTCAGCATTACTCGTCGGGACCAAGATCGACCCATTCCCCTCTGATTCTGATCATTAAAACCCGTTGAAAGAAAAAAATGCTCGCCCTCGACGGATCCACCCTCGAAGGCGGCGGCCAACTCGTCCGTGTGGCTCTCTCCATTGCAGCCATCTGTGCCGTTCCCGTGCGCATCTACAACATACGCGCCGGCCGGGGAGGGGGAGGGAACTGGCACCACAAGCGTGCGCACAACAACGGTCGAAGAAGTAATCATCAGGGAAGTTCTAACCACCGCGGCGGCGGCGGTGGAGGGGACCAGGGAAGTATCCCCCCGCGGGTTCCGGCTGTGGCTGCAACGAAACCAAAGAAGGCTGGTGGTGGACTCAAGGAGAGCCATTTGGCAGCGTTAATCTGGCTAGCCCGTAACTGCGGCGCGGAGGTCGAAGGGGGAGAGATTGGGAGCCAGGAGCTCACGTTCGAGCCTGCGCGGCGGAAGAGAGATGGGCGGTGGAGGGCGAAAGGGGCCGCTGAGGACGCGGAGGTGATCGAGCTGAAGAATCCCGGCAGCGTCTGGCTCATCTGGCAGGCGATTTTCCCTTATATTGTCTTCTCCACGCTCCACACGCGCAGTCATAGAGGATCAGAAGCAGCACCGGCTTTCCGCATCCGTCTCAAAGGTGGAACGAACGTCCCGAAATCTCCCTCGAGCGAATACATTCAGCAGGTGCTTCTTCCTCTGTGCGAGCGCATCGGGCTCCCCAGGGTCGAAGTCCAGGTCATTCGGCGTGGGTGGACGACGGGCGCCGCGGAGATAGGAGAGGTTGAGATTTCCGTGTATCATCCCGAGAAGTCTGGTAAAGACAATGTGATGGCGAAGCCAGAGGGCGGTGGTGCAATGGGAAAATTCAAAGGCAAGCTCAGAGAAGACGAAGTCGATAAAGGTGACGGCGCGGGTTTCGTTCTCGCCCCTTTCCAAATCGCCGCACCTCGCCCAAGCACCATAACCTCCGTGTCAATGACCATCCTGGCCGGCTCTCCCAAGACGCACTCACTACTCGAATCTCAGCTCGTCACAGCCCTACACACCGTCCCGACCTTCTCATCACCAGATCTCCCCATCAAACTACATCCTTCCTCCGCGGACTCCTCCGACGAACGACGCCTCTACATCCTCCTGGTCGCACACACCTCCGACGGCTACGCCTTGGGGAGAGACTACCTCGGGCCAGGCCGCAAGGTGACCAACGACACAGAACGCCAGCGCATGGTCGACGAGGCCGTCAACACCGTCGTGCGCGCTCTTGCTAGGGAGTGTGAACGGAGAAGCTGCGTGGATGAATTCGCAGAAGACCAGTTGGTCGTTTTCCAGGCTCTTGCGGACGGCGCGTCGAGCGTTGACGTGGGAGGAGATCGAGGCAAAAACAAAGAGGAGACAGGCAGTTTACATACGAGGACTGTGCGGTGGGTGTGTCGAGAAATGCTGGGGACGGTGTTTGACGGGCTGGGCGGATGTGAAGGGCGTGGAATGAAGGGGGAAGGAGGGTTCGATGAGGTCAAGGATAGCATAGAAGCGCCAAACATCGAGCAAGACTAAGATGAGGAAGAGAATCGTAGGAGGGGGTCCAAGTGTAAGCCTCTGGACTGGGTTGAAAGAATGATCAAGGTAGCTCTTGTTGTCTTGCTCTTGAGACCGTGCAGCGATTCCTATTCACATGACAACTTTTCTCGACCACCGCCCGCCATCCAGTTCGCCTGCAAGGATCTTCCAGCAAGACCCGACGCCGTAACACATAGTGTTGTCAAACTTTTCTCGCTGAAAATGGCCAACCAGACTTGACATCCGCCATAAATCAGTTTGGAGCACCCACCCACCTGATGCTCCACACCTCGTGAAGTCATCGACTTCTCCAGAAAGCATTCCCGCTCACCAGTTGCAACCGCAATATCATTTTCAAGATAATCTGAGTGCTTCCGTGATGTGGAAAGGGAGGCAAGGGTTCTTTCTTTGCCGACTTGACAGCATGTTTCACCTTGGCACGCTCATGATGCCCTGTAAACCAGCGGCGTCTTCTCAGATTCTGACTCTAGCGGCATTTGACCTCGGTCCTTGACAGTTTGATCGATTTTCCTGTCTCTAGCCATCCTGGCTGATCCGAACATTATCTTGTTTTTCGTTGCCTGTGTTTGATCTGCGTTGACGATGACCTCGACTCGAATGCTCCTAACCTTGAGTACCGGCTCTACCGCGACCTCTTCCGCCCTTGGCCGCGCGCTCCGCAAGAAGTTTCTTCTTCAGCTCCTTATGCGCTTGGCGCGCCGCCTTGTCGTACTTGGCCTTCCCTAGAAGTGGAAGACCGGGAATCTTGCCCGTAGCATTGGGGTCTGGCTTCGGCTTGGTGGAGACCAGGTTTGACTTCGGCCCTCGAGCTTTGACAAGATTCTTGCGTTCTTTCTTGGGCTTCTTGACCTTCCAAGGTTTCAATTTGTTGCCGCCGGCTGGGCTCGAACTGGCTCCCGGTTTGGCCTCGCCTTCGTCGAATTGTCCAAATGAGATGAAGTCAGCTGAGAGCTCTTCTTTGGTGGCTGCCACCCCGTCTTCGGCAGGAATATGAGCAGACTCTTCAGCCTCTTCTTGAACCTCGGCAGGCTCAGCGGCAGCGGGAGGCTCTTTCGCGGCTTTCTTTGCCTTCTTCAATGCTTTTCTCTCGGCCTTGGACATTTCCTTTGAAACGGTCTCTGCATGATTGTCTGTCACGTCGGTCGAAGTGCCTTGGGCTTCCCCCTCCGCTGGCAAATCGGCTGACGTGGAAGTCAAGGCAATATCGGCATCAGTCTCTTTGCCAGCCTTGCTTTTCTTTTCCTTCTTTTCCTTTTTTTCTTTCTTCTCCGTCTTGTCCTTCTTGGATTTTTTGCCTTCTTCCACAGCAGGTGTGTCTTTGGCCAATTCACTTGGGGCTTCAAGAGCGGGGCTAGGACCATTTTCCCCGTTCTTAATTTGTTTCGACTCTGCCTGGCCGGCTAGCTTTTGGCTCAACGCCGCTGAAGGCGCCGTCAGAGTGGACGATGGCATGTCTAGTCCAATGGCTTTCATCTTCTTTGCCTTCTTGTCCCGTTTGCGCTGCTCTTTGTCAATCTTTTTCTGCCACTGCTCTTCAGTCTTGGGTGCAGCCAGACGCTCCCGTTCCAGTTTCTCGTGAGGAATCTTCCGGTACTTTTTATCTGCCCCCTTCCAGACGTCAGGGTGTAGGGAGCCTGGTTCAGCATATTTGCATTTGAGGATGTGGCCAAACATCAGGTAGTTGTCCATTGTCTCTGCCACAATCTTCGCAACCTCGTTTGAAGCGAATTCGATAAAGGCAAAGTGTTTCGACGCCCCAGTGCGTTTGTTTCGTGACAAGCGCAGGCGGGTGATGTCGCCAAATTGAGAAAAGTAGGCTCTCATCTCTTTCTCGTAAAAGCCGTGAGGAATGCGGCCGACATAGACTGTGCCAGGACCATCGTCGTTCCCTTTTGCTTTTGCTTTCACCAACTTCTTCTGAGTCTTCTTGTATTTGGGCAAAGGAGGAGTTGTCCCAAAGTCAAATCCTTCATCTTGTTTGTCCTCTGTGTCACTGTCAAACCCAGCTAATAGAGCAGCCGCATTGTCATCGGCTTCGACCTCGCCAGCATCCTCCTGCTCATCCTCGCTTGCAAAGCCGCCAAACCCTTCTTCAAGCTCATGGTCGACGGTGCGCTCCGCCTCGGCCTGCATCGAAGTAGAGACTGGTTTGTGCAAGGTTGCAGTCTCCAAATTCTCCGCCCCAGTATGTTCAATCACACCATTGACACCATCAGCAGTGAGTGTCTCCCCATTGTTGCTGGTTTTGTTGTTCTTGCTTTTCTTTGACTTTTTCTTCGCCGGCTCAGCGGCTTCCTCGGTACCATTTTGTCCCTCAACTTCATTTGCAGTATCTGCTGGCACCGGTGCCTCCCCATCGTCCATGAAGTCGGATGCGCGCTTGCGGGATTTCTTCGACTTGGTTACAGCAGCATTGTCGGATTGGAGGGTCTTTTGCTTGTGGTCAGATGGGACCTCGATTGACTCATTGTCCTTGAGCTCCGCCTTAGAGGCGTCACTTTTGTCGGCGCTCTTTGATTGCTTGCTCTTCTTCAGAGGCTGGTCAGTGGCACCGGAAGACTCTATTCACGAGTCAGTCAGTGATCTTGTGCACCTGATCTTGTTCGTTCTCACCTTTGCGTTTCTTGGTTCCCATGACTGTTGCGATAGTAGACACAATGGACCACCAACCTCGTGAACAACTATTGTCGCCAGATTCTCCAGACTTCTGAGAAAATCAATCGCCAGTCGCTGGTCAAAATTTTCTCCAATTTTTGCTTGGCGTGGAGAGAGAAACGACACTGAAGCCGGAAAGGGGAACTTTTCCGAAGTCAATTCGTGTGCTGCCTGGTGAAAAGAGAATACCACGAATGCCTAGGTAACGAGTTATACACTTGCATCTGCTGGTTGTTCCAAGTGTGGTGAAGATGCAACATCTTCTGCTTCTTCGACTCATCAGTCTTGCAACCAAGGCTGTGTGGATCCATTCTACATGCTCGTGTGGAAACACCTTCGTGTCAAGGCAATCAATCTCCGTTCATAGCGATTTTCACCTGAAGACTTGACTGCACAGCACTCCACGGTGCTTTCATGGTTCAAAATTCCTGAAGAGATGGGAACAAATGATTAAGTGTATAGGGCATTCGACAGTATTGACACGATTGTAAGGACCTACCGAAAACTAAACAACGGAAAGCAATGACCACCAGATGGCGGGTCCCTGGATCGGCCTGGAGACAACAAAGGGACAAATTCAAAACCCACGTACAGCAACGCTGGCCTGGCCCACTCTACGAACAGCTCTGTTCCATTCAGACGATGTGGTATTGGTGCATCCGCTCCCTTATCCTACGCCAAAACGGCAAAAGCGCCAGAGCTCCATCTCGCAAAGTGGAAAGGCGGCATGCACGTCTACACAGTCATCCATTCCACAAATAGTGGTTAGGTGTTTACCATGGGAAATGTACCTGGGGCAACCGACAGAGCCGTAAAGATCCATGAGCATCATTACCTCATTAAGGAGCACTCGTAGCACAGGTTTGGAGATGGTCTGTTCACATTTGGTCATGAGCCATAATCAATTTCCGGCCCAAGTGCATTTGGACAAGTTTGAATTCTTATCGTGAGTGCAACGACTATTGTCAGTCTCGTTTCTTTTTCCCAAACTGGATCAACTATCAAGTGGCGCCATCAACCTCCTGCTGTGAACCAAAGGCTTCCTTCGGCAAGTGGATTGTTAGCTGGATCTGGAGCCGAGTTAGTCGTGGTCATGGACTATATGCAGGATTGCATAAAGCAAGCTTCGCTGTGATTCAACAATTCACAGGCATGTTCTGCACAATTATGAATGAGTGCCAGAGGATTTTGGGGAGATATGCAGTGCTTAGACAAGAGTACTTGTGCTTGTATACTGCGAATAAGGAAGCGAGTTGCAGCCACGGCGAGTTCATCCTATCAAAGGCAACACGGATAGGTAATCATGAGACATTATTGACTCCTCCTGGTATGCAACACATGGCGTGGCGGACGGGAAATAAACGACTCCGCATTCCGGGTTTGGGTGGCTGACCACTTGCTTGTGCTTTACCTTTAGGGAACTGCCTGAACCATCCCTATTGTAGGAAGTCCCTCGAGTCTTTGGTAAGCATACAAGGCCTTCTGAAACCCATTCGTCATTGAGAAGTTCATCATCGCTCTCGTCGGCTGGAGGGTTGGGCCTGAGGGCGGCCGTATGATCTTACGAGATATTGCCACTTCCTCATCGCTCGGGAATACGGTCAGGAGCAGAGACACCGTCCATGCCTCGAGGCAAGGAGTGAGTACGAGGTGCGAGATACTTGTAGGCATATACTGTACATCGCAGGAGGGTAGACTGGTGGGTGCCGGTGGCGGGGTATTTGTATCACGAGCAGCCAAAAAACCTGCCTAACGATGACATCAATGGGCTGATTGGGTCGGTGACCGAGGATGGCAACAGGTCATCTGAGAAGGTGGAAATGCGCAAATGGTTACATATGTACCTACCTGTACAAGTAGGTGTGATTCCAACGGCCTTCCAATGCCATTTCCACATGTCAATGTAAACAATCCACAAGGTTAACGATGATCAGGGATGTTTGAGTTGAAATGCTTGGGATTATCAAGCTTCGAGCTTCAAATGAGTCAAGACTCTTTTCGTGCAAAGGGTCACGTTCAATGCACAGTCAAGCGACCGCATTCCCCACAGGACCACAGAAAACACTGGAGAGGGTTCGAGGTTGTTTCTAATGGGGAGAATGGGGCAAGGATATGTAGTGATACTTGTACTTGTATGGCGCTCGAACTGAGGGAAAACCATGTCAGTCAGTGGCACCCATCAAGGCTTGGCCCCCTTCTCTCTGTGGAGTCCATTTGGGTGCGCCCATTAATTATTATTTCGCCCCCCCTCCAGAACCAAAGCCGAACAATCCCGCCTTCTTATGCCTCGTACGTCATGCTTGAATGTGCATGGACCAGTGTGGCCAGTCAGTGTCATGCTCGTGTCAAAACACCGCAGGCTCTCGTCACAAAGTAAGTGTGTCACTGTGGACCGGCCGCTCTCCCGCCAGCCCATGACGAGGCCGCTTTACTACAGCATTACACAGTGTCGAACCCTTTACCAGGAATTAACTGTGGCTCTCGGATCAAGACTGGACCAATCTGGACCATCTCACTGACAAGCACCAGGCTGACCTAAACCAAATACTTTATTCCTGTTCGCGAACGATGCCCCCCACCTTGCCATTCGAGGGACTTGTAGGCGGATCAGCCGGGCCCGGTCTTTAGCACCCTTCGGCCTCAAGACCTCTTCCGAATGCACGAAGCTGCTTTGCCCGAGCGAGTAAAAAACCATCCCTACGTACGACTCGTCTGAGGAAGATGGAGGGAAAGAGGGGGTTGGCCAAGGCTGATCGTGTCGGTGACTGTTGCTTATGTGGATTGGTAACCAGCCCTTAAGTCGCTTTTAATCACTCGTCCGGCCTCCCATCTCAAGCCTCTTATTACCAGATTTCTGACTTCCCAAGATCTTGTCCCTTTGTACTCGTTATATCTTCGATCAAACACAGTACATCTGCCTTGGCAAAGCTCGCAAGACTCAGAACAAGCATCGACCGATAACAAGGAGAAGAATACTCCAACATCAAGTATTGGAGCACGTGCCTCTCATAGAAGCCTGTCACACCACCATATTTTCACATATCAGCCATGGCACCAGTAATATGGGGACTCGACTTGAAAGACATTCATTGGAAGAAGTTTGGGAGCGACTATATGTGGAAGAATAAGGACTATCATATGAGACGGACCAAATTTATCATCTATCAGCTCGCCATGATATGCATGGTTGTATCCGAATCAATAGGCACCGCCGCCTTGACTGGTAAGCATCTTCAACTCTCTCACCTTGGGCGACGGCATTTCTGACATCATGGGTGCTAGACTATGTGAAGCAACAGTCGAGGATTGAGAGTTTACACTCCTCAGCATCCGTTCACAACGACGACTTCGTCGGCATCGCCTCATACAATATCTTTTGCGGTATCGCCGTCGCCACCGTCTTTGGCGCCGGGTTCTTCTTCGATCTCTTCTTCCCCGAGCGCTTTGAACCCAAGAACATTCGATGGGCTTGGAGACTCAGTGCAGTCTTCGTGACGTTGTGCACGATTGCCGATGCCCTCGCCTTCACGGTCATCGTGGCAACCGGCAACTCGTGGATTTCGGCCGACTCACAAGATGCGGAAGAGATTGCTCGCGAGAGGATCAATCCTCCGTTGGTCTACCGACACAATGGTAGAGCCATCGCCTCTACCGTGTTCCTGTGGCTTGGCCTATGTGCAACAGTAGCTAGGTGAGTGGCTTGGAGACTTTCTGTGAGAAGAAGACCCTAACAGATGGCAGTTGCATCATCATGTGGCTCTACTACCAGCATCTCGACACCTATGGTCCAAAGTCCCACACGGCTCGCATGCGGGATGAGGTGGACAAGACCATCTTGATTAATGAGCGTGCTCGTACTGGCATGAGCTCCCGAGAGCAAATGGCTTTCACCTCAAAGTATGCACTTGTGAATCCAAGCTAGGCAAAGAGACCCAATTCTAACATCCTCGGCAGCCCATACAAGCCTTGAACGCATTGTTCTTCCCATACATGGATGGAAGAGCACAATCTCAACTACCTGAGTCGGTTTCGGACAGATCTCTCCGATCCTTCCCACGACTGAAGTATGGACAATGTCCACAAATTTTTGGAGGTGCCCCCTTCGTAAAGGGCGACAGTTATCGAGGCCCTACGGCGTCGAAAAAGATGTAACACTGTTTTCTATGTGGTGTCGACACACGACTATGTCGAGCGTTTAACAAATATGATGGCTTTATGTGTGGAAGCGAGATCCTGGAGAGACGCATATTGATCGGCGGTAAAGAGGATTCAATACCCAAGAAGGCTTGCTTGGGCGGGGTGGAAAACTTGACTTACGGAAGCATCGGAACGTCCGGGAAGAGGACCACGGTGGAGTTTTGGTGATCAACTGACTACAAGTAGCGTGTTGAGCGTTCTTCCGACTGAGCACGTGCCCCATGTAAATTTATAACTGAACAGAAGCACCAGAAGCAAATAGATGCAATGATGTGACGAAGATCTTCCGGCTGTTTCCGGCCTCAGCCTTGCGCCTTGTTACCCCTCTTGTCCTGGGCAGCCTAGTGCAGCCTTGTGGAAATCACCCTATATCAGGGAACATTCATTCCTCCATGACTGACTGCTGAAGCACACTACACTCATTTTTCAAAAGATGGAATATCAGCCCAGATGCGTCGCTCGTATTCCACCCCCCACCACAATGTCTTCATACGTCGTTGCACAAAGAAGCCCAAGCCGGGCCAAGAACCAAGCCTCAACCCCGCTTCCCAACCTCCTGGAAGGTTAATATTGACTGTTCTTTTCTTTTCATATTGTTTGCAAAGGACTCTTCATCATTGTTCTGTGAAGCTAAGCCCTTGAATCAAAGAGTTGACAAATTGAGGCAGGCACAGCTCACAGCTAAGGACTTCGAGACTTGTCCTCTCATCCCATCGGATTGCAGTCCCTCCTCACCGCATTTCGCCTTGACAGTGTCTGAGATTCGACCATCATGAGCGCCGAAGCTTCTAGCACCTCAAACACGGCTCACCAAGCTATTGATTCGGCAGACTCGCCGTCGAAACCTCACAGCAACAACCATGACTCTCCCCACAGTGGCCCGGGAGGCCTCTTGACGATTCATCATGAAGGAGAATCTGGCCGAAGCGGGATCCACTTCTGGTCATTCCTCCGTATCTTATGGCGGTCATCATCCCAAGTCTCCATGGCTGTCAATATTCTGTGGCCTTTTGTCCCGTTTGCCATAATCCTCCACTATCTGCCCGGGCACCACTCGACCACGCTCGAGAAATGGATCTTCGCGGCGAGCTATATCGGCATGGTCCCTGCGGCGAACCTCTTGGGGTTCGCGGGTCAAGAGCTTGCACGGAAAATGCCTAAAGTTGCGGGAATCTTGATTGAGACTGCGTTAGGGAGTATCGTGGAGATTGTGCTGTTCATCATCCTGATCGCCAAACATAAGAACCCTGAAGGGTCTGGCGACGACAGCTCCGCAGAAGAGGGCAACCTCATACCCGTCATCCAGGCCGCGATTCTTGGCTCTATTCTGACCAACCTGCTCCTCTGTCTGGGTCTGTGCTTCTTCTTTGGCGGCATTCGTCGACAGACACAGACCTTCCACGCCGTCGTCTCCGAGGTGGGATCTGGCCTGTTGCTTGTCGCCGGCTTTGGTCTCCTCATTCCGAGTGCATTCTACTCTGCTCTGAAAGGCGAGACGCGTCCGCACAGTGGTTTCACAGAACACAAGCTACAATACGACGTGTTGAAGATGAGCCAAGCCACGAGTATTATCCTCATGATCGCTTTCGCCGTCTACATCGTATTCAATGCGCGGAGCCAACACAGCATCTTCGATGAGATTCTCGAGGCAGACGAGATCAACGACGAGGACCGGACCCACGACCTGGCCAAAGAAAAACTGACATTTACCGAATGCGTCGTCGCTATAATCGTGTCTCTGACGTTGATCACGCTCCTGGCCGTCTTTCTCGTGGAGCAGATCGAAACCGTCGTGCACTCTGGTGTGCCTGATCAATTCCTCGGCCTCATCCTCCTTCCACTGGTCGAAAAGGCGGCTGAGCATCTGACTGCGGTCGACGAGGCATGGGACGGCCAGATGAATTTCGCCCTGTACCACTGCCTCGGGCCGAGTATCCAGACGGCACTGTTCAACGGGCCACTAGTGGTCATTGTGGGCTGGGCCCTGGGGAAACCCATGGACCTCAACTTTGAGATCTTTATGATTGTCCTGCTCGTGCTGTCGATTTTGGTAGTTGGCAATTTCCTCAGGGATAAAGAAAGCAATTATCTCGAGGGCACTCTGTTGGTGGTAAGTTCTCGCTCCGTGACCTTGCCTAGTGGCTCTTTAGGTCGGCTCGGAAGATTTCTCATGCTGATTATGATGTTATTGGATAGATTGTGTATATCATCATCGCCATTGCGGCGTGGTACTATCCAGATCCGAACGTGGCGACCTCCAACGAATTCGACGGTGCTTGGTCTGCCTCTGCCTTTCCGCCTACAGCAACCTCGATGGTTCCTTTGCAGTTCAAAACGCAGGGGACGGTGTTTGATGGAGTTCTCTCCCACTAAGGACTGGGCCACTATCTGTGAGAACGACTTCGTCAATGAAAACTAGCCATGACGTGTCACGCCGTTTCTGCACCGGCTGCAATACTCGAAATGCGATTGCGCAGATACCATTCGAGAACGACCCTGCCTAATGACCGACACTCTACCGAGTACTCAACAGTGTAAATGGGTCCTACTGAACGATTCACCCTCTCAGAAGCAAACATCGATGTCATAACCTGAAAATACGTTTTCCCTACTTTGTTAAGTCTGATGAAGCCTTTGACATCTCCATTCCAACCTGGTTCTGCAAGTCCTTCGCTATCAAATACTCTGCCTTCTTCGTTCACAGTTAGGCGCTTTAATGCCCGCTCTTCTCCTTCCGATTATATCACACCTGTCTCTCGTCAGCCTCACCCCGTGGCTCCTGTGCATTCTCGTGCAAATGGGTATCGGTGCCTAGATAAGCTCTGGTGCTCTGAAGGACTCTTTGTCGGATTTGTTCGAGACGCATTGCCTCCGGGAGGCTTTCTGGCATATGTCGATCAACTGAAAGATTCGGTGGCATGGTCACATTTGGCATGGGATGCTGCTGGTCTTGGCCTTCGCTGAGGTTCTCCGGCATGGATACTCCTCGAATCTCTCGATGAATTTCGGCCATGCTCTTTCCACCAGAAAAGCTGCGACGCGAACTCTCTCCACTTATCTCCGACCTCACAGTATTGGGTGACGCTCTTGCAGAGACAACATCCTCAGGCCATACGCAGCTGCGCTGGTGTTTGAGGCACCTGCCACACACAGGTTTCACGCCGTCGCAGCTCTTGCCGGACGCAGCACACAGCGTGCATGGCGACTCGTTCGCAGTGCGTTTGCCCCTCGGCTGGGAACGACGGTGCGGGAAAGTTGCGGTGTTGCGGTCACGGGCTGGAGTATGGTTAGCTTCCCAGCATCGTGAATCGGAAGGTCATGGTTACTTTGTCCAGTCGATCGTCTTTCATGCCGGCTATGTTCCTTACCCTGGCGACGAAGAGAGCCCGAGAGAGGTGTCGTCACATCATCTGCCCTGTTCAAGATTGGCATTGTGCACGATCTTGGTTGCGCTGTGTCAGAAACAGCAGTGGCAAAGGTCGAAGGATTACTTCGATGCTTGAGGTTGCCCACTCTCAATCGCTCTGATGCAAGGCAGCTGTGGGTCTTGGTATCTGGCAAAACGCTACTCGGTTGGACATTCAAGGACAAACGTCTCAAGTCCTGTGAGGTTGAGTGACAAATAAATAGGTTGGACCATCGTACACTACAAAGGGGTCCAGGATGCTTTATGTAGGTGCGACTCTGGGATGCCAACTCATAGATTCTCTATGTCGTGGTTTCAAGGATTTGCCTTTTCGGTCTCTATCCTGCCTCGCGATAGTTCTGAACCATGCCAAGAAAAATGTCATCTACCCCAGACTAAATACCGTGGTCAGACCGCACTATCCTACCTCTATAGTATTCTAAGATACTTTTCTACTACTCTTTCTAGGGATTATTATTAAGTATTACTATCATTATAGAGCTCATGGGCTCGTGATTGTATCTAGAGAATAAAATCTACAGTTTCATACCTAAAACTTTGAGTAAGAGACAAAATAACTTAGGGGTATTCTGGTCATTACTTCGCTGTGCCACTTATTTTTTTCCGCCGAATCGGTGCCTCTGAAAGGAGGTTTCGGTCATGACTGGAAGGAAATACAAGAAGAGCGGGACCCACTCCCAGTGTGACCAATAAAAGAGGAGGATATCTCTGAGGTAGCCTTAGGGCGCCAAAGATTGGCTGCCCTCGATTGGGGGCAAAGCAGTTCAGCTCTCCTGGACAGTATTCGCCATGTGGTTCGGACTTATGCACGTGCGTGGAGCCAAGTCGAACCCTGCAGCTCCGGCATCGAATTTGCGTGCCCGCACGCGTCTAGCTTCATGTGCCTGAGAGCGTCTGACATTTGGGAACAAACAGATTTCACACTCGGCGAGGAATCCCGTCAGGCAGTCAGGCTGAGACCGAGGCCGGGGTCCCGCTTTTTTGTAGGAGTTGAGACTCCTACAAAAAACAGCGGGACCAACGGCCAGTGTTGACCAATCAAGAGTGAAGACATACAAGTCTTCAAGGACGGTCAGATTCTGTTCTGCGGCGGGGAATGATTGGCTGATACTTGACTGGGTATGCGAGGGTCAAAAGTACGAGGTACTCGGTGCTCTGTCAGGCAGGCAAGTATCAGGCTTGGAGCACGAGAACATCCGTTGGTCACTTCATCTCGAAGGTCACAAAGCTTTGCTACTCCTCAGCTGGGCAGAGAAGAGGTCAGAAGGGAGCTTTGCTTGCCTGAACCTGCCAGGTGG